CAGATGAATCCTTTCTAAGCCAAGTTTTTCTCAGATGAGCTGAAAGTTCAGAGCCAACCCCTGAGAGTCAGGGAGGTAAGAGGCAGAAATTGCCCCTCTTAGGAAGCCACTGTGGGCCATACGCATATGATACGTTCCTTTGACGCAGAAATATAGGGACAAATAGAAGTATGTTTTATATAGACCCCAAAACAATGCAAAAGGTAAAATCATATTTAGCCATTGCAATATGTGAGGCTGTCAATACAGGTTTCCTTATGCAGATGAGGAGGTGAGGAGTAACAGCTGGGTTGAATTCCAGTACTAAGTCTCATGGGAGCCCTGCCCTCCATCACAGATTAGAGTGCAGACTCCTCATGGAGGCCCACCAGACTCTTCATCTGCCTTCTGCCCAGCTCTCCGACTCTCCCGCCTTATCTCCTGTCATCACTTCTCTTACTCGGGTTTCTGTCTTCTACTTTGTTGAGCTTCTCCTAGTTCCTCCAACACACCACACTTCTCTCACCTCCAGGCAGGCTCTCACCCACACTGTTCCCTGTGCCTCCAACCCCAAAGCCCCAGCCCCTGCCATCACCTCATGCTTCCCTTGCAGGAACACTTTTTGCACTGTGTTCTCATGGCATGTTTACACCTTTGTAGCAGCCACCGGATGGTAAGCTCCATATGGAGGAGAAGGTACCCATCTTCCTCCCTGTTTCTTGATGAACCCAGTACTGAACTCAGGTCCTGGCACTTAGCAGACACTGTATACATAAAGTCCTGACTTCATGCTGTGTTATCTTCAGCAAGTCACTCAACTTCTCTGGGCCTCAATTTCTGCAATGATCATGTAAGATGGTCTCTGAATTCTCTTTTTAGTTTGAAATAGTGTCATGTAAGGAATTTCACAACATGCATCCTTTCCCATCCTACAAACTCTCTCTTTACCACCAGGCTTACTAAGTTCTCACTTCCTAATCAGTTCTCTTATTATAATTTCCCCCTCCTCCTATCTAGCTATTGACGTTGTTTTAGGTTAATTGATGATCTTTCAGTGGCCATATCCCAAATCCTCTTTTCAGTCCTCATTCCAGTGACCTCTCTGAAGCATTTGAAAGTCTCACCTCTGTGGTCTCTGCTAAACATCTTTCTCCTAGCTTTAAGCTAAGGTTTTTGGCTGCTTCTTATTTTCTTCTGTCTCCAATTCCACTCTCTTATTCCAGGCCCCTGCCATCTTTTACTACTATAATCATGTCTTAATTTGTTTCACCATCTAAATATCTTCCTCTTTGTCTGCCATCAAACTAGCAGAGCTATTTTCTCCAAATACAGAGCTATCAGCTCATTCCCCAATTATGACATTTTGATGGCTCCCAATCTGCACAGGATTCCCCACTGCACACATGCTACTGTTACCCTTCTAGAGCCCAGGGCAGACACCACTATTCAAGCATAACTTCAGAACCTTTCTTAACACAGCTTTGCAGACAGCTACTACCAATCAATAAGAAGTGTGAGTACTGCTGGTGGGAATGCAGCTTGGTGTAGCCATTATGGAAAACAGTATGGAGATTCCTCAAAAAACTAAAAATAGACACTCTATGATCCAGCAATCCCACTTATGGATATATATCCTGAGGAAACTCTAATTCAAAAAGATACATGCACCCCAGTGTTCATAACAGCACTATTTACAATAGCCAAGACATGGAAGCAACCCAAATAATGTCCATCAACAGATGACAACATAAAGAAGCTGTGGTATATTTATACAATGGAATACTACTCAGCTATAAAAAAGAATAAAATAATGTCATTTGCAGCAACATGGATGGACCTACAGATTGTCATCCTAAGTGAAGTAAGCCAGAAAGAGAAAGAAAAATACCATTTGATATCACTCATATGTGGAATTTAAAAAAGAAAAAGAAAAAAAAGGGACACTATGAACTCATCTACAAAACAGAAACAGACTTGCAGACACAGTAAACAATCTTATGGTTACCAGGGAAAGGGGGTTGGAAGGGATAAATTTGGGAGTTTGAGATTTTCAACTGTTAGCCACTACATATAAAAATAGATTAAAAAACCAAGTTTCTTCTGTATAGCACATGGAACTATATTCAACATCTTGTAATAATCTTCAATGAAAAAGAATATGAAATGAATATATGTATGTATATGCATGACTGGGACATTGTGCTGTACGCCAGAAACCGACACATTGTAGCTGACTGTACTTCAATAAAAAAACTAAAAATTAAAAAAAAGTAAGTGTGAGTATGGGATGGAAACTAGTCATTCACAATCTGGCTCCAATCTGCTTTCCAGCCTCATTTTCTACCACTTTCTTTCCCACCCACGCTCTGTGTTCTGGGTGCTTCAGAGCTTCCCTAACAGTCCACACTCTTTCAGGCCACTTCACCTTGTGCATACTAATTAGTCTGCAAGAAAAACAATTTTTCCACTGTATCTGGTGAATTCTTACGAATCCCTGCAGAGATGGTACAAATATCATTTCCTTTTGGAGACCTTTCCTGACCAGCAGAGCAAGAAAAGAAAAGCTTCTTCTTCTTCTTCTGTTCACATTAAATTGCAATGATCTATTTCTACATGTGTTGATCCCTCCTACCTAGAACACGACTTCCTCTGGAATGGACCATATCTTAGTCATCTTTGTATCATTGCGAGAGCTTACAGCAGTAGCTGCAACACAGTAGGAGCCAAACAGATACTTATTGAACCAGTGAAAGACTGAACAGATGACTAAATGAATGGCAGGCCTCCAGTTGTACCTAACGTAGGTCTAGAGCTCAGAGCTCCTGCCTCTGGACACTGTTAGGGGCTCTGCCACGGCAACTCTCTTTTTAGACTCACCTGGGCCCAGGCTTGTCGGAAAGCACAGAATTTTATTGATAAAAACCAGTAATGATAACAACCATCATCATCGTAATAGCTAACATTAGCGAATGCTTACTGTGTGCCAAGACAAAAACTGCTTAAGACTTAAAGAACAAGGAGCAGAGCAATTTTAAACTATGATTAAAGATAAGAGCAGAATAAAGATAATTCTGAGCATAAAGAATTACCTTTTAATCTGCTATCCAAAAACACGGCAATGGTCTAAAACTCCACTGAAAGAAAGGATTATCGCTTATGTACACCTAGGGTGGGCAGTAAATAATATTTTTTTTTCTGATATCACTCTGTGGTGGCTAGAGTTATGATTATTCTAAGAGATTTCTGTCCATGTCAAATCTACTTGGGTGAAAATTAGCTTCAGAATAGAGTCTCCTGGTATTCTCAAGAACAGCCATAAGAGCTGGGAAAAAAATAACCTTAGGTGACAACATTTGGGCTAGTGCTGACTATGGTATGCTCCCTTAGAGACTTACAATGCATATTAGCTACTGGGGAGAAGAGGACAGAAGTCGGAAAACCTATTCAGCGTAGCTTAACCCAGAATTCTCCATTTGACTAGTGTACTTTTTTTTTTCAAACAGAATGCTTCGTATTTATTTTTGTGGAATGAGAACTGAAATATTGGCTCTGGAGGTTCCTAGAAATAGTTCTGCACTGGGATTCTAGCAGTGGGCACTCGCCAAAGGGCTTTTACAAGGATTTAGAGAAGCAAGACTGTCTGAGTCTCAGAAGAGACTTGCGCCTGGTAGTAGTATTTATGCAATAAACACTCAACCCTTTATAAAGACTTGGGAGAAGAAAGGCCAGGTCTTAATCAGTCCTTTGAATTAACAGTTTTGTTATGGCTGTCTTACAGAGTCACAGGAATTTATATTTTCATTTTATCCCAAAGAAAAACTTTACCATCTTTCTTTAATACTATCAACCTGGAAGCTTGACAGTAAGGATTAAAAATTGCTCCTTCCTTCCCACTTGGTTATTGGAAAGGCCCTGAAAGGCAATCAGTCTTGTGAAGCTGCACTTTACAGTCTGCATAAAAATGCCATGATTTTCCTTCCTCTCCCCAACCTAATTGAAAGTGCATAATATCACCCAGCTGGGGAAATGTGAACGGTAAACATCTACGATCTATCACACTATCACACAAAAGCTGGTGACTAATAGGGACTGGGTGGTTGTCAGGACCAAAGGGAATCTGGAAAACAAGTCTTTTTTCCATCTAGAATGAGAGCTCTTGGTGCCTGCCACCCTTTCCCCCCACCTTTCCCCCCTCCAGACTTCAAGTTACAGCCAGATTAAACCAAGGTCAGTCAACTCATTTCTCGTGTGTGTAATTCCAAGGGTCACCTAACAATGTATATTGACTAACACTCTCTTATATCAGCCTTTGAAGAGATGAGGCATTTTGCTTTTGGCAGGAGGTTGGGCTGGAATCATCTTCTTCCCTACCTACTTCAATTGTACTGACAGATAGGTCCTATTATCTCTTTCCTTAGCTGCTGAACGTAAAGATCCTTGGCTTTGTCACCTCTTATTTGTCTCTACTTCATCAAACTCCTACTGCCTAGATTATCTCCTTTTCTGCCTCTGATCATCCATGAATATCTGTACAGAATCAGGTATTCTTTCAGTAGGAAATCCCAATCTTTACAAAGTCTTCTGCAAGTCTGAGGCTAACTGTAATTCCACCTCAATTACACCCACTTGGAAGTCACCACTCTCTTTTCTGATTCCTCACCTCCAAGTATCACGCCATCCTCTTGAATAAGTCTTTTTACAGTAGGGCTCTTAGGAGAAAGGACAATATTTCTTCAAAGTTTTTATCACTAGTTCTCTGTTTCAATATTCCTTCAAAAATTGCTCCCTGTTGCATCATGAACTCAGCTACTACTGCTCATTCATGCCACCTTATAACTAGCAATTGTTTTATTTTTGATGGCTAATACCTTACAGGTAGGTCAAAGCATAGCACTTGTCAAGGGTACTATGTCATTTCAGCTTAACAGATTGAAGGATGTATTTTCATCTACTTCAGCGGTAGAGATGATTTGAAACTTACTGAATTAAAACTCCATTCATCTTTCCATAAGTTATATTACCTGTCAGCTGGCACTGGTGGATGGTATGGCTTCTTGACCTTGGCATAAAGACCCTCTAAGTGGTCTCTCTCTGGAGACAGTGGACGGCCATCTCGAGGGTAGCCCAGTGGTCCAGGCCGAGGGGGAGATGGAGACCTATAGGCGTTTGCTGATGCACATGGTTCCCGGAAGTGGTTCACTCTGGCATAGTTGGGGTCCATTTCATCATCGTCCATATCATGCAGTGATCCCATTGCACCAGTAGCGTAATCAATAAGGCCTCTTGCCTGCTTTTCCCTTAGCTCCTGATGTTTTGCTCCAATCCTGAAAAAATGTGGAACAAGAGGTATGTGAGTTTATATGCTAATAACAATGATATACTCTCCTGAATCTATGTTAATTCTTCCTAGTCAGCCACTTAGCTGTCACTTTCCTGGATACTCGAGATCACACCATGCAGAAATGCCAAAAGCATATTCCACAAAACTAGTTCTACATTTCTGACCTTCGTTTGTTACAGGGTCTTTGCTTTTATAGCAAAGCTATAGGCATTTTAGCATCTGATACCTGGACTGATTGTACAGTCAGAGGCTGTTTTCATTAAGATTTCTTCCCTATAAATGGGATGTGCCCATGGGAACAGTCCATCTTTGGCATGATACTATAGAAGTCTGCCTTGGGACAGGGATGCATGTTAAAGAGCCCATCAGAATCTTATACTTAGTCCACGATTTCACTGTTTGATGCCTCAGAGTTCCAGTGTATTCTTCTAAAGAACAGAGCTTGCAAAAATTGATTTAAATATGAAAAAGAAATACAGAGGCTTTCTGGTCACTAAAAGCAGTAGGATCAGAGATAATTTATAAGAGACTCTAAGTTTTTTGGCTACACAAATGGGGATCATTGTGTTTCATTATACAGGGGCTAGGGACAGAGTAAAAGAGTGAAGAAATTAATAGGCTCCTGACAGAGACGAATTGGCACATATAAGTGAATTAAACACCATTACTGGCAGAACTCCACAACGCTAAAGCCTTTAGTGATATTACAAAATGCTTCTGCTAATCAGTGTACTGTGTAGACTACCGGGAATGGGAGTAGAAAAATATACTACTGTGGATACCAAATCCATCTGAATTTTGAGAATTTGACATTTAATCTGGGAAGTGTTAGACCAACTCTCTCCTAAATCCCCAGTTATGTGTTAAAATAGAAAGGTCACTGTGGCATCTTATTGGACGATGGTGACCTGCTGGGGTCAGGAGGTGTTCTGCAATAATGAGGAGAGACTGTAACCTCACATCACTGGGAAAACAAGGTGCACTGTGTATGGGAGGAGGAAGTAAGACGATGCTGGCTCAGGTGGTGAAAGAAAGACTTTCAAGAAAGGATAGGGAGAAATCTTTAGTCCTGGGCTCAGAGAATCTGAGAGGATTGTGGGCTAGAAATGAAAGATCCATACATGCCTAGAAATATATATTGAAGACCTGGATGAAAGAACAAAAACTGAATTCTCTCAGTATCTTTTCCTCTTCAAATAAAAACAGCTGTTTTCGCACATGGCAGCTAGCTTTATTTTACAGAACATCAAACTCTTTGTAAAAATCTTTAAAAGCCATGATCTTTCAAGGTATTTTCCCTTTTGGCAGAATGGCTTTTTCTCTTTTTGAGTAGAGAGGAAGAAGGAAAAATAAAAAGACGAAGAAGGTATAGGACAACCCCCCCCCATATCTATCTATCTTCCAGTCACAACAGATGAAAATAAATGCCAGGCTGCGTTATTGCATATCTCTTTTGACTAAGTCAGATCATGTACCCTATACAGAAGTAATTAGAAGAATTTATATTTTGTGCAAAGGGGAGCTTGAATCTCCAAGGGATTTTGAATGAAGATGAAAGGAAGATTACACAGTAGGGTACCCGTTAAGAGGCCCTGCCTGTCCTCTTTCAATTCATGTCAGTCCTAGATTCATGGATGTTTGTTTTGAATAATTTTTGATAAAGAAGATAACCTGCTCCCTTCTGCAACAAAACCATCTTTCCAGGGACAGTGCAGACTGGATTATCAGAGGATGCTTGCTGCACTAGGATGATAGGGATGGATTTCCATTGCAAATGGAGCACAGGACATCAATAAAGTTAGGAGGTGGGATTCTGTGTGGTTCCTATTCCTCCTAAGTGGGATGCCTTCTAGAGAAATCATTCAGCAGAAAGATGAGCATCTCCCGGCTGCCACACCGGGCTACACTTGTGCATTAATGAAAGAGGAAAATATCAAGCTTGATTTTTTAAAATCACAGAAATAGAACACTAGAATCTGTGTTCCTTATTTCATCATTTCTCTTTCTTAGATGTTTTCTCATTAATTAAGCTTGCTGAATAGGTAAAATTCTCAGATGAAAAGTACTCCATATATGCAAAGCAGTATTTTTATCTTGTATTTTTCCTTTCTACAACAAAACCAAATTTCTCCTTGATCCTCCCTGTGTCACTGAGCATTTCAGTAACTAATTTCATATTAATCACTCAGTAGGTGAAACAGTAATTTCTCTGAACCATCATTATTATGCATACATCAGGATCTCTCTGTGTAGGGGAGGACAAGGCAATCTCTGGAAAAGAGTGTAGGGAGGCAGAAGAGACTTAAGAGAGAAATGTCAAGGAAATAAGATTTTTTTTTTGGTCACTCTTATTTCCCTTTGCCTCAATTCTGTGTGAGAATTCTAATTATTTATAGTCATTTCCACTTGGATGTCTCCTTATCACTGGGAACTCAACCTGCTAAAAAATCTATTCTTCAAAAGCCCTGGATAATATACCATTTTTATTGGATGGCACCACCAGCTTCCCCATTCTCCCCAGCACATTGCTTTTAAGTTGTTTAAGTCTCCTTCTTCCATTATACCTCTTGGATAGCTTCTTTTATTTGCAATTCTTTAGCCACAGTCTGGTGTTCAGGCTTTATATTGCCTAGATCTGTGCTGTCCAACATGGTGGCCATTAACCACATGGTGCTACATAAATTTAAATTGGAATTAATTATAATTAAATAAAATTTAAAATTCAGTTTCTCAGTTTCACAAACTGCATTTCAAGTATTCAACGACCACATGAGCCAGTGCAGATACAGACTAATCCCATCATTGCAGAATGTTCTATTAGCTTGTGCTGGCTAGATTATTCTGAGATTTTTTGGTATGTCACCACATTCTACTTTAATCTACACCTTAAAAGGCTACTAAAATAATCTCCCTCAAAGAGCATTTCCATCATATCTTTGTCAGATCAAGGATCTCTAACAGAACATTGCAATAAAAAATGGAGTAAGAGCATGGTTACTCTATCTCCTTCCCTGAAACCCTAAGTGAACAGACAATTGAGAAAACGGGAAGAAAATTCCATCTAAAGCAGAATTAGAATATAGCCATAATCTTAAAGCATGAGATGACATTTGAACTCAATCCAAAGGGGGCAGTATCTTGAGTCAATATATGCCTTCGTCTCCAGCAGGGTATACATTTTCCTGAAAGTTAGAGACAGTTGAGGGGACTACAGACAACAAACTTTACTTAAAAAAGAGAGTCTGAAGACAGGGGTGGGAGTCTGGAATTCTAGGGTAAATCTTTGTGTGGTTCCAAACTCTGAATGAAGGAGAGGCAGGGATAGAAGAGAGAGATTTCCACTAAGAGATGTATTTCCTCTAACCCTGAAGAAACTTCATCAAGGTAAATGGAGAGAAGAGAAAAGAAACATCAACCTTTGTAGTTAATAGGGCAGCATGAGCAGAGCAGAGATGCAAACTCACAAACTCAGCAAAATAAAACCTTAAATAATCTAAGAGACTTCACTAAGCAGGCTGATCTCTTGTTAGGATGACCTGCTCTCCCCAAAACGGAAGACCATAGAAAACAAGCCCTCAGGGCAGTGAGCCCAGCAGATCAGGCAAGAAGATATTTTGAGGGAACATATGGACTTGAAGCTGCTGGTGACCTGAGATCACTATGCCCACACCATCTAACATTATATTTTAGTACAGGTTTCTGAAAAAGAATTAGACACTGTAGAAGATGAAATTAACTTAATGGGTCATAACAAGCACTTAAAAAATTAAATATAGCAAAAGAGAAAATATTCAGGGTTATTGCCTGTAGTGAGCATAAGAATTTTTTTCAAGAGAAAAACCAAGTCATCTAAAAATTCAGGCAAATTCAGGTGGGCCTCAAACATGAATAAAGACAAAAGAAAAACGTTTTCAAACATTCAACAACTCAAGGGAATATAACACTTGTTGACCCATCTTGAAAAACTACTTAATAATGAAAAGCAGTCAGCCAAGAACTGAATCCAAATGAAGAATTCAGCCCAGCAAAGCTGTGGAAGGACAGGTATGGAGGTGAGCAATGCCTTCATTTAAATATAAAATAAAGGCTAAACATCTGTAGGAAGAATAATTACACAAAATGTAAATATCACAAACTCTGACAATATAAAGATAATATCACCATAAAAATAAAAAAATAAGGAGATGAGTTAGGGGAAAGCATTAATATTCAATGCATTTATTTCCTCACCTTTTAAAGCAGGCATCAGTAGTTGCCACTTAAAGTTGATAAATCAGGAAACAGTGGTTATAGTATTTGAAATACAATTACAAAAAACTGAGTCAAACAACAAATCATGAGCAGAAGAGAAATAAAACAAAACAAAACCCCAACCACAGAGTAGAAAACGGAGAACAGAGAAAGCAGTAAAAAAGAAAGTAACATAAAATATAATGATAAGATTTATCTGTTATGACAATAAATGAAAACGGAATAAATTCCTTTATTATAACTAAAGGATCGCAGATGATCAAAAAGAAAAACACGCTGTGTGCTATCATACTGGTGAAAAACAAGATGAGCATCCATGTGCATTAACAGGGGATTGCAAAAGAAATAGGACATACATATGGGTCTGGATATTTGTAAATATCTGTATGATATATGTACATATCTTTGTATATGCACAGTAAATGTCTGTAAAGACACAAAAAATTCATCAGGACGGTTGCCTTTGGAGTGGAAAGCAAGGTATATTGTTTGAATTTTTATGTCATACATTTTTAGAATAATTTAAAATTTTTTAAAAATGCACAAAGTCCCTTAAAACTGCATACTGACTGTTGGAGTGAATCAAAACTAAAACAACAAAACAGAACAAAACATTAAAGAGGTACCAGCAGGCATCCTTTGTCTTCTAAATCTGATGTTTCATAACCCCATTATCAACTCAGTTATGATAATAATTTTCTTCAAATTACTGTTCATTGAACATTTGTTTAG